GGCAGATTTGGAAGTCTTTTTTTACATTCAATTTCTTCATATTAAAGAACGAAGAGTGGTAAGCCATGAATCAAACCTGCTCTGAGAGGAATCATAACATTACGAACTAGATGAAAGACTGCATACTTCTGAGTGAATAAACTACTTATCCTACAAAGCACTCTGATATAACAGTATCTCCTACAACTATTTCCAATAATTCATTAATCACAGATATTTTATTATTTTTAAACTAACTCAGCATACCGTGGCTTGCCCTCCTGTCAGATGCATGCTGCTTAATGCATTTGAAGCATATTTTTTCTCAGCACATATGTTACAATACGGTTTTATCCTTATCTGTAAATGTTAGAAAGTATTTTCATTTTGCAAAAAGGCTTGTCCAGACAGCAAGCGAGCATCCGTTAGACTTCAGACTTCATTTTAAAAAAAGCGACAGCACATGCATCAAACAGATGGAGCGCAATAGAATCATGATAATTTCAACTAAAATATGTTTTGCAAAATAAAAATTGCATCCAACATTGGAAATCATTACCCCTTAACAATACCATAAACTTGAGTATGAAGAGTGTGATGCAGCTGTTTGCGGCGGTAATAATACAATGCCAAGTGTAACTGCAAATGAAGCCAAGTGAGTCTAAATATCATGACACTCTGTAACATGTTATGTGCTTAATTGCTTTCAACAGCATTTGTATTGATATCAAAATTTGCATGGAAAGCCACCCAATATATTTCCTTTCTAGTGGAAAGCGTTCACAGTGAGTTGTTGGGTGGCATGGTCCATTGGGCTTTAATGAGTGCACTTCAGCACGGGTGCTGAGGTAAGAGCACTTGAATTCAGCGGTGGAGAGATCTCATTGTTATTAATGACACAGAAGTCATTTTATGGTGCATTTTCAGCTTCATCCATTCCAACTGACCGTCTGGAGTTGACTCATTCTGAGATGCTTTGTGTTTGGGTAATGATCACCCTGACAGTGCAATCTCATGAGATACAAGCAATATCGATATAAGTGATATCACTTATATCTCTTATATCACGTCAGATTGCACTGTCAGACATGCATATACTGCTCTCAGCAGACACTTCAGGCACATACAGAATTGCAAATGTGTTATACTCTTTTAGATTGATCTCCAAAGTCATTCAACAGACTATTCAAGCAGACATTAGGAACAGAATAGTGTATCTCACAAGACACAAACCCAAGCACTGCACTAACCGTGCTCGAAATAGCAAAAAATGTTTCCCTTCATGCAGCGTCTCCAAAACGCGATTGGCGGGGTGATTGAACTGTGTAATTAGCTGTAATTAACAGTCATCAGGGTTGTTAAAAGTCCCCCCTGTCAGGCCTCAGGTGCAGGTGTGGGGGTTCGCCATGATTTATTGCCTCCAAAACAGCTTTTGTAATTCTTGTCATTATAGTACAGCTATCCATCTATAAGCCAAGTTTGCTGAGAGACAGTAAGTATCACTGTTACTATTGTTATTACAAAACCCTAACTGTAAAAGTGAGGTCACATTAGTGAAATTTTTGCTAAATTTCACGCTCAAAAAAGACCATTGTCTATTGTCAGTAGTTTAGCTGTGTATGAAGCACAGCTCATGCAGAAGTCACTTTCAAACCAAGCAGAATTTTGTAGGACAACATGTAATAATAATAATAATAATAATAATAATAATATTCACAGAAAAACTGTAAATATAAACACTCAATAATTCTACCGAAACATATAATATCTCAAAATGTGTGGTTTGCGAAGGTGAGTACATTTGAACAGAATTTTCACTTTTGGGTGAACAATATTGTTTAATCTAATATACATTCTGACAAAAATCTGTTAAATTATGTAAAAAAAAAAAAAAGTATATTAATAATAAAAATAATAACAATATTATTAATGTAATTTATAATATAATTTATAATTTAATAACACAATTAATCAATCAATCAATGTTCATTAAATAACTAATATTAATTTAAATTCATTCAACTATCCATTCTCCAAACTGCTTGTCCTTTGTATGGTTGCATGGATTTTAATAAATGAATATTAATAAAAATATTTAATAATATGAAGTTATGGTTATTTTTTATTATTTTTATACATTGTGTATAACATTGCTGTTTAATATTCATAATACTTTTTGTAAATTTTTTGCATGCCACAGCAGTGTGTGAGACGTCTAAAGTAACGTTTTACATAATGCCCTCTAAATGGACAGTTTTGCCATTTATTATGTATATTCCTCTCTGGTCCGCATATATTATTAGTGGCAAGTACAGCCAAAGCTACAAGTACTCCAAACAGCAGGGATGTATAAACCACAAATCACCTTGTTCTTCATTTTTTTTAACAGAAGCAGTGGTCTGTCTTTAGCTGGATGTAACGAGCATGCTGGCGTTCGGCTCTGCTTAGCTAACGGAGCAACAGTGCATGGACCCCCAGACGCAGTGAGACACTGAACTCCCACTGGCAATCTAATGAGCCTGCTTTGATAACCGAAGCACAGATAAATGTATGTGAGGCAGGCGTTTACCTCCCTTCATGAGGAAGCGCTGAGGTACAATAACGTAGACTCAGAAAGGAACCTAAGAAAAATCAGGTGCTGAGTGACAATACGACCTAGATGGGAAGGATACAGGAAGCACAAAGGTTTGTTTGTGCAGATGAGGTGGAATAAAGACTTTAATGAGCGGAGTCAGACTAAAGTGCAGCAATAGCGAGCAGCAGCTCATTAGTCGATGTGAACTTTATACCCTCAACTAAACTTCTTACAGTGTCACAGTTTGCTCAGCTATAACCCCCTGATGATTTCCCAGCATTCCTTTCATCATATAAATTCTGCAAAGGAACATTTGTACTGTGTTTTCTTGCAATGTACAAAGCATGGCAACATTGTTTATTTCACAAAATAACGAACTGGACGTTAACCAGTCAGATTTCAGAAGTGGACATTCAAATGAGACTGCGCTACTGTCAGTCGCTGAAGCCTTGCGGATTACAAAAGCTGATTCCAAATCATCAGTTCTCATTCTGCTGGATCTATCTGTCGCTTTTGACACACTGTGAATCATCAGATCCTCCTGTTCACCCTCTCATCACAGGGCATCACTTCGCTGGTTTGAATCCTATCTAGCAAGTAGGTCTTTCAGGGGAGGTATCCAAAGCACATCAACTGGTCACTGGGTTCCTCAGGGATCAGTTCTTGGACCCCTCCTCTTCTCCCTATACACTACATCACTGGGACCCATCATACAGGCACATGGCTTATCCTACCATTGCTATGTTGATGACACCCAGCTCTATCTTTCATTTCATCCAGAGGATCCAACGGTAGCTGCAAGGATCTCAGGCTGCCTGGAGAACATCTCAGCATGGATGACGGAACATCACCTACAGCTCAACCTGACAAAGACTAAGCTTTTTGTCTTCCCTGCCACTCCAAATCAACAGATTGATTTCACCATCCAGCTGGGTTCATCAACAATAACCCCATCAAGTTTGGTCAGAAATTTTGGTGTAAGCTTTGATGACCAGCTGAATTTCAAAGACCACATTGCAAACACTGCTCAATCTTGCAGGTTTGCATTACACAACATCAGAAAGATCAGGCACTTCCTAATGGAGCATGCTGCACAACTTCTTGTCCAGGCTAGGGTGGACTACTGCAATGTTCTTCTGGGTGGACTTTCATCATGCAAATGATTAAGAATGCAGCAGCAAAACTGGTCTTTAGCAACCGTGTCACACCTCTCTTCATCTCCCTGCACTGGCTACCGGTTGTGGCTTGCATCAAGTTCAAGACATTGATGGTTGCATATAGAACAGCCACAGGCTCAGCATTCTCCTACGTCCACTCATTCTTACGTATCTACATCACCTCCAGAAGCCTGAGATCTACAAGTGAGCACTGCCTCGTGGTACCACCACAGAGAGGCACTAAATCACTTTCCAGAACATTTTCTTTCACTGTTCCTAGTTGGTGGAATGATCTTCCCACCCCCATCTGGAATGCTGAATCCCTGACAATTTTCTAGCGACAGCTGAAAACTCATCTATTTTGTCAACATTTGACTGCAAATAATAAAAAAACAAAAACAAACAAAACATTGCTTTCTCTTTCCTTAATCCCCCTGTCTAGCTTGTACTAATCTGAACAATGTCTGAAACTTTGTATTACGAGCACTTCCTGTGTTTATTTGCCTCTTTATGATGAATTGCTTGTTGTATTCCTCAATTGTAAGTCTCTTAGGATAAATATATACTTTTTTATAAATGAAAAAAGTACATTCGAACTGTATTTTAACACACTGTTAAACTGTACACAACACACTGTGATTGTTTTGAATTTTAAGCTTTAACTGCATCAGATATCAAACTGGTTTCAGATTAGCTAAGAACGGCAGTTTCTCAAAAAACACTTTTCTGGTTATTTAACCTGGATGAAAAAAAAGGTCAAGACAGGCAGTCAAAAACAAAACAAAACAAAACAGTGTGAGAATTAAAACATGAAATAAAATATTTTGAAACATTTACAAGATACATTTTTATTAATCAGTTCTTGAACAACACATGCTCAAAACAAAATGTTTAATGACAAAAGAGAATGTTCGACTAACATATAAAGTGCAGTTACCTATTTATTAAAATTCCTTATAATTTGCTACCAGACTGGCAGACCATTGACAAAGTTGATGGATGATAAATGAGAATGGCATCTTTCACAGTGATTCTCAACTCCCATCCTGGGTCCCACAGGCAGCTCTGCACATTTTGCATGTCTCTCTTATCTGACGCACTCTGTGCAGTTTATAGTGCTCTCTCATAACAAGCTAATTATCTGAATCAGGTGTGTTAAAAAAGGAAGACATTCAAAATGTGTAGAGGAGTGTGTCCCCAAAACTAGAGTTGAAAACCAATGATCTATCACATTAAAAGGATGTGAGCTTTATAAATGGAGGAAAGAAGCCAAACAGAGCAGTTCTTACCCAAGAGCCTTCTCCATACGACCACCCAATGATCCCACCACCTCTCCCAATGTACAACAGGCCTGGCCAAGGAAATCCTGCAATGAGAGAGAACATTAAAGGGGACTGGGTGGCATTTTTCAACATGGCAAGACGAAAGGTCAGTATTTCAAGTTGTCTATTTATAGTATATCTGAGATTTATTCAACTTTAACTATAATCACTGGGTAAGAGCAAAGATAAGCTTTGATTTATCAACTACAGTACACGATATGGACAAAATTATGTTGTCACCAAAACCCCACAGCTCTGTGTGATTGTTCAGATTTTAATTTAAAAATCATAGGCATTTATAATGAGTCAGCCCTCCCTATCTGGGAAGCTTTCCAGTAGGAAAGTTCGGGGGGAAGTAGTGGCCTAATGGTTAGAGAGTCGGACTCGTAACCCAAAGGTTGCGGATTCGAGTCTCGTACCAGCAGGGATTGTAGGTGGGGGGAGTGAATGTACAGCGCTCTCTCCCACCTTCAATACCACGACTGAGGTGCCCTTGAGCAAAGCACCAAACCCCCAACTGCTCCCCGGGCGCCGCAGCAAAAATGGCTGCCCACTGCTCCGGGTGTGTGTGTGCACTTTTGATGGGATAAATGCAGAGCACTAATTCCGAGTATGGGTCACCATACTTGGCCACATGTCACGTCACATGACTGTTAGGGTTTGGTCTGTTGCGATGTGGTCTGACTCAGAGTCAGTGTTCCAATGCATCCCTAAGGTGGTCAGTGGAACTCAGGTTTGGGATTGGTTCAAGCCAGTTTAAGTTCTTTTTACGTAGACTCAGTAAATCTTTTCTTTTTGGACCTTGCCCACCAAGGCACTGCTATGCTGAAGCAGAAAATAGCCCTTCCAGACCATTGTCACATAGTTGGAAACCCATAATTTTCTACGTAGCATTAAGATTTATTTTCACAAGAATTAAGTGGCCTTGCCAAACCCATTAAAGCAATTGTATGTTGTTTTGTGTATTTTTGACTTTGGAGGCTTCTTCTGAGTGGAATTCACTGTCATAAATATACTGTATCTCTGTGGTAATTACAATTGATAGCCATCAGAATGTACCATTAGAATGATTTTAAAATAAATATTTTAAGTTTACAAATCGACATACAATTGCTTTAAAGGAGCTGAAACATATATTGGCTACTCCTTTTAATATAATGAAAGGGAATGATGACTATGGCTGCCAAGCTGCAAAAAGCTGCCAAGGACTACAGTATGTAAGCCAGTGGTTCCCAACCTGGGGTCCAGCATTTATAGCATATACTTTGAGGTAGGGCTGGGCAATAAAACGATAACTATAATAATAGTGATATAATTTTCCTCAATAAAACGAGTTCGATAAATATTCGATTGAATGTCTATGAGCCAAAAGCGGAACAAAACAGCGCTACTCAATTGAACCGCACCACACGGACCATTTATCCACTTGTTTCAAATGGCGGTGCAGCGCAGAGCGAGCTGACTAGAGCAGATGTGTTTACTCACTGATCATGCAACCACTAAACAGCGCTGTGAGATCCAGTGTGAAACGCTTGAATTCAGCGAAGAACACAAATGACTGATATAAACTAGTATCAGTCAATATCAGTCAACTGATATAAACTAGTGTAAATCCACATGAAACAGCGCTGACAAACATCAGAAAAACACTGTGTGCAACGATACAGTCAGAAGGCTTTTCAATCTACAAATCGCCATCGTTAAACTTGGATTTATTGTAGTAACACTAACTGCACCATGGTATTGTGGCAGAAATGTGGGATATTTATATCGAATTTATTATATTAATGTAGACGTATTAAATGTATTAAAGGAGTAATGGAATGTAATTACAGTATATTTGTGATTAAGCTATTGCGTTTGTGCATTTATACTAAATGTATTTAGACTACTGTTTTTCATACAAATAGGCTACCTAGAAACCATATAGTTGCATTTTTACCACAGTATTGATGTGCTATATGTGTGGTTTTAACTCTGGTTATCATGATGTAAATGTATGCTACTATGGAAGAACAATGGTTAATTTTAATAAAACCCAAAGTCAGAAAAATTAAATTTCACCATATACAGTGGGGGAAAAAAGTATTTAGTCAGCCACCAATTGTGCAAGTTATCCCACTTAAAAAGATGAGAGAGGCCTGTAATTTTCATCATAGGTATACCTCAACTATGAGAGACAAAATGAGAAAAAAAA